GACACATGAATGAAACAACATAAACAACAAAAACCAATCCCGGAGCTGGACAGAAGTGCTCACCTCAAGATCCTTTCAGGAATTTCAAATCAATTTATATTATATTAGACAATGGAAGTCCGAATTGATGAAATACACCACGAAACATTGTCAACCATCTTCAAACAAAGAGTATTTCAGTTGTACCCAGTATTTAAATAAAGTGAAGAGTGAATTTAACTTTTTAGTATGAAATATTTTTTGATAGTATGGAACTTTTAGTACCAAACATTTCCTCTGCTAATGCAGCAGACATCATCAGTGGTATATACGTTGCGTCTGCCGCAGTAGCAAACAAAACTTTTAGTACTACAAGTTCCATTCGACCACGGCCTTCGAGCTCAGATTGCATTCTCTCTAATCGTGATTCCGGTCGTGTTCTAATATTACACTACTAATTTTAATTTCTTTGTAAATGTCGATGAGTCACCTACGCATGAGTTGAGCTCGACGTTTATCTTTCTGTTGTGCCATAAATGATTTAATCAGAAGCGCACTAGCCCTGCGATCTTGGATCCATAGGTACAAGTCGGTACAAAAACTACTGGATGAAACTTTCGCTGGTTTTTGCACTGGAGCCCTTATGAAATCGACAAAAAAAAGATAACCAATGAAACACACGATTTAAGAGCAATAGAAACACACGATTTAAGAGCAATATTTTTGCCACTCAAATATGAAATACTAACGGCTTCATTTTTTGGAAGTCATCCTTTACATATTTCTTGAAGATCTACTCACTTCACGAAATTGGTACCAAAGCAAATGGAAAAATTATTTTCCCCAAAGGAATGGACATCTTACAATCTGGGATTAATTCAGATCATGATTCCACCCAGTACTATCCGAAAATCAATGAAATATCTTCAGACCTGAGTTTTGAAAGTAAAATCGTTAATGAAGATATTTATGTCGGAAAAATTTCACATTTCTGAAATGGTTCCCAAAAATTTTTCGAATATTTCAAAACTCTCCAAATCTACAAAATTAACAACTGACTGGGAAAAAGGTAGCAGTGGTGAACGAAGCAGCAATGATAATCATTTAAACAACTCAAACCTTCAGTGAAAAATTTCTCACTTATCGGTTTGCAAAACACAAGTATTTGGAGTATTTGAAAAATGATGCCTACTTGAAAGATATCGTAAGAGGAAGTCCAGGGACACCCTGTATAACATCAATGTTCATTTAGTAAACCTTATGCCAGACAATATCAAGATCAACAGACTAAGGCGTGTTTTGAATCGTATCTTCCAAAAGTGGGTGACATGTGTGAAAAAATCGCCTGTTGATCTTTGCTTTCGGAAATCATTTTGAGAGTCGCTTAAGATGTGGAAGCAGGTCTGGCGGTAGTCGGTAGGTATAGCGTAAGTTGTTTATTCCACTCAGACAATCGTTCGCTATGTGAAACGACTGTTCGAGCCCTAAAACCTATTGAAAATTTTCAGGGCTTATAAATCTGTGTATCGCACATTAAAATGTAAGATCACGTTAATCATTGGATCGCACAAGTTTATACTTCTAAGAGTTATGTATCGTAGATGGGCGACATTTGGTTAAAGGAATTGATGGATATTTCAACACATTCTAAATATTGAGAATGTATTGATACACAGCTTTCTCTATGTGTTTTGATATCACCGACCGTAAAGCAACAGGTCTACAGTTTTTGAGACTTTTTTACCTTTATAGAGAAAAAATACCCTTGATGATTAGATGAAGTGTTGGGTACTTCTATATCACTATTAATCGTTCAAAAGACTCTCCACAAGGTTCGTTGCTTGTCACTGAATCATGTGATCATAACAACACATTCTGCAATCTATCATATATGCAATCAATCATAATGAAGATGCACACCATGTTTTTGGAAACTCTCACCAAACAATTCATTTATCTAAATCTCTTCTCTTTTCAGGTCTACCTCTTTCGCTACTGATTGGCATGAAATATGGTAAGCATCTATGCCGAAAATACAAAAAACCATTTATTCCGATACACCATATGGAGGCGCACGCTCTAACAGCTAGATTGTACGATAAAACAATAGAATTTCCATTTTTGGTATTATTAATTAGTGGTGGACACTGTCTCGTTGCGATTGCACAGAAGCTTGATAAATTTTTACTCCTGGGGGAAAGCGTCGATGATGCTCCTGGTGAAGCTTTTGATAAGGTAAGCTTATACAAAAAAGAGTATTTCATTTCATCAGTTTGGACTTCCATTGAATAATATAATATACCTAAATTGATTTGAAATCCCTGGAAAGAATAAGAAGATTAACCGAAAATAACAATTTTATTAAACAAAAATTTACGTAAATAACACTGTTTTACATGTAAATAGTTTATTGTTTGTCCCTACTACTAGTACTGCCTCTCGTGACACGTTTGCTGTACAATTCTCAGGAAAAAGGCTCATTAAACTGACATACCTACCCAATGTCTTTCACCACATCAACAATATTTTTTTATAAAAGATAACAATCTGTATCTGTTGGTAATGCCATTTTCTCTCTCTCTCTCTCTAAAATCACATTCACATCATACATTCAACTAGAAATTGGGAGTACTAAAATTGTAATGAAAGAACTGAATGTGGTACTGAAAATATTTGTAGCGAATTTAAATAATCAATCCAGCACTCCAAATAGTCTACCAAGATTGAAATAATGTTTCTATGAATAAGCGGGAACAAAATTGGACTTCAATATGTTTTAATTTGTTATTCGAATTTGTGACTTCAAACAAAATCTTTGTTTAGTACCTCTTGCTCTATCTTCTTTAACAACTTAGTTTGCTAAATATCCAATTTTTGTTTTTTTTTTCACTTCAATAAAGGAATTGATTCAGGATTTTTTTTCTAATAGGGAATTGATAATTTTAATTATTTTGTCGATACATTTGATTCTAAAGTTCATTATGAAAAGTCGCCACCAATCAAAATACGATGTTTTCCTATATTTTTATACTCATTTAATTTCTAAAGAAAAGTCACTACCAATCAAAATACCATGTTTTATTTTATTTTTATACTCATTTAATTTCTAACAATGAAACTTCCTCATTTGAATTTGGTTTTTCAGATGGCTAGGAGAATGAAACTGAAAAATCTTCCTGAGTATTCTCAGCTTTCAGGAGGGCAAGCTATTGAACTTGCAGCATCTAAAGCAGATAATCCTTTAGCATACAAGTTCACGATTCCTCTAAAGCACTATAAAAATTGTAATTTCAGTTTTTCTGGAATAAAGAACCAACTCAAGCTACAACTGATTAAAGAGGAAAGGATGAAAGGTTAGAAATATAATGAAGTAAGATATTTATCAAATTGAAATTAATAAAATACAAATATGTGATCAAACCATAACCATAGTTGGAAATTTCTTCACAGTTATTATAGTTTAGTGTCCTTAAAAACAATAAAAAAAATTTGGTAATAGCAGCACAGATTACTGATAATTGTAATGAAATCATGAATATTTACCATAGTTGTTTACTTCTTGTATGGTATAAATGAAAACAAGTTGTTTCTCTATTTTTTGGAATAAAAATTGAAAAACGATTCTTCAGGAGCTCTAAGCCATAATCTCTCTTGCTCCACAAATCTGACATTAAGTCTGGTGAGCTCACAAGTCTGAAGAGATGTATTTACAAAATAAAATTGATATTTAAAAAAATAATATCAAAATGTTTCACATATTTAGCTATATCAGAAAATATTATCCACAGAAGTAGCTGCTGATGGCGTTATACCTGGTGTCAACAACATGTGTGCCGGTTTCCAAATTGTTATAACTAGACATATTTGCCACAGGGTGCAGAGAGGCATGGAGTATGCAGAATTGAAAGGCTTGATACCTCCCGACAAAAAAACTTTGGTATGTAAAATTTATATGTAGAAAGTTTTTTTCCTTATATGAGGAATTGGGAAAATTTCGGATATGCGGTTAGTTACCTCGTTCACAGGCAGATGGAGCGATGACATAACTGTTGTTTGTTGTCCGCCTCAGCCTAGTTCATGGAATGATATTCTGAAGAAATTGGATTTTCAAGTATCGGAAATCTTCGACTTTATGTTGATGATAGACACTACCTTGCACTGACGAGTGGCCAAACAGCCCGAAACCGGTCTGCAAGTGTGTTCCAATAATTAAAAATCTATTGCGGCAGTTATATCGCCAACAGAATATGCAGGAATAACGTGAAGAATCCTGCACTGACACCTGTCGGATATAATCCAAAGCTCTTCATGGTATTAGCTAAGGGAGTTGGTGTTTTCTGATAAGTGTCAGTCCATTAACTTACAGTGCAGGAAGTTGAGACTGGCCTGAACTAATTGTTCTTTTAGTTGATTTGATTTACCTTTATTCTTTTGTATTCAATTTCTTAACACAACAAGTTCATCATTATTTTCTAAAGACTTTATATTTATTGTAGGTAGTATCTGGAGGAGTGGCATGTAACAATTTTATAAGTAAAGGATTGCAAATAGTATGTGATGAACTCGAATACAAAATGGTCAGACCTCCACCCAAATTATGCACAGACAACGGCGTCATGATAGCTTGGAATGGTGTTGAAAGGTTAGCAAACAATAATTTTTTTTTTTTAAGTTCAATATTAAGTAGTGGTAATGGTGGCATCCTTTATTGCGACCATCTAGGAGATTGACACAATACTCAAACTGTCTTGATCACCATTGCTTCCATCAATGCAATGGTTGAATTCTACTGTCCCTGAGGGGATTAATTCTGAGGGAATAGGGGAGATGATGATAGTTGATGTTGAAGCTTGTAAAAGGACCGTCGTTGGTTGAAACCAATGTTTATCTTCGATATTTGTTGTTATACTTTTCCTGCGTTCCCATAGATGGCGCCTTTGTGCGGAAAAATAGTGGTATACAAGGACTCCACTAAACATTAAAATTAATCAACTTATGCTCTATGTCAACAAATGTTAAATATATACTAGTCTTTATTATCAAGAAATTTTAAATGCTCTGAAAAAAAATTGTTTTTCAGGTGGAAAGAAAACATTGGCATCTACACGGATTTTGAAGATATTGAGATTGAAAAATCATCACCTTTAGGTGAAAGTCTTATCGAAGATGTCGAGAAATCTGGAATTAGCTGCAATTGGGTAAAATTAACAAAGTTAAATTTTCCACAATGAACATGCACAGTGAATTATTAAGATAAATCACAGCAGATAAACTGCAGTGAACATGAATTGCAGATGGCTTAATTCCATATTCTATCACTTGAAAGAGCAGATATAGGTGAATGCAATCAAGTTTCGATAAAACAACACTGCAGTTTCTTAAAGGATAGAAAGTACATTAAATCCAATAAAACAGATTGAAAAGTTTAAATTAAATCAAAAGGATGAATTCACAACTGAATATATTTTTCCATATGTTGATCATTCATTATATAAATAAAGAGGTATAAGTGACAGGTGTTTATTTTTTTATGACATGTTTGGGTCATTGTTCCTTTGAGGACTTATCAAATCGGGATACTCAAACAATCAACCTGGAGACACCCTAAATTTTGTTGTATGAGACAGAGGACATTGGCAGATCAAGATCTTCAGATGATGTGGTGCTGCAGGTTTTTCCGGGTTTTCCTGCAGGTGAAAAAGCAAATGCGCCACTGGAATCAATGAAGTCGCCCCGGAGCGCCAATTAGTTTTTGTTGTTGTTTTATATAATTTCATGATTTGTATTTTGGAAGTGTTGTTATTGTAGATTTTTCAACTTCCGAAATATCATACTTTTCTGTAAACTAAAAATTGACCTACAGTTTCATAACTATTCAAAAGACTTTCGTTCTAGTGATTTGTACTAAACATGATATAAAATTTCCTGATTTTACACATTACATGCAAAATGTCGGGAAGACATTTTTTTTGGGTTTTAGTTTTGGGTAAAGTCAAATTATTGCGTTTAATGAATCTGTTTTGTGTACAGATTTTTATACATTCATAATTCACAAATGATTTTTACATACAATGTTATCCACACAAGACAAAGTGGGAATCGTTCTTTTATGTGGTGAGAATGTGCCATATCGAAATGTTGCTTATATTTTTAATCACCAGCATCCAGGAAGAAATATTCACTTTATTACTGTGGGAAGGATATTGAAAACATTCAAAAACTGGCTCTGTGGACAATCGTTACAAGAAACCACATAATCCAATAAAGTATAATGATGAAGAACAATTCAATGTTTGTTTGAGCGTTGTTGAAAACAGAAAAACTAATATTGGGAGTATTAGTGAAGATACAGGGGTTGGTCGAGAAACTGTGAAGAATTTTGCACAAAAATAAATTCCATCCCTATAAGCCAAAGTTCAGACACACTCTTAAAGAAAGAGTAGGAGTAGGATTTTCATTTTGATTACAAGGTGAGTCGAGGCAACTTTCACGTCGAACGGACAGTTTTTTTCCTAAAATTGTCGTTGGTGGTCCAACAATAATTCAAATTTTGTAATAGAGTGCCGTGGCCAATATTCATTTAAGACAAATGTATGGTGTGGTTTATTACATAACCAAATAATTGGACCATATTTTTTTAGAGAAAATTCGATTGCAGACATGTACATAAATTTCATTATGAAACAGTTGTTTGATGTTTTGGCTAATCTGCCTCCAAGTGTTAGACGGAATTTTTGGTATCAGCTTGACGCGGCACCGATCTACATATTCATGTATAGAGTTACTTATTTTACAATTGATTACTTCCTTCCTTTCTTTGGAAGATTCCCACATGTTTTTGTATCATAATGGAGTAGTAGAAAGCCAAAAACTTTCTTTCCCGTTTAATGGTATTTACACATCTAATGGTGAAAAATAAAGAATATAAGATTTATGAAATTAACTCGAGAAGCGTTATTATTTGCTCAATAATTACATCTAACACTTTACATTCAAAAGTTACACTGTTGGGTGTAAACAGTATCAAAATATTTCGAACTCATCTGCAGCTAATGGGATACAAATTTGCTTAAAAAAGGAATACAAGTCTTATAAAAATTAAGAGAAATATTTTCATTCAATTACTGACATAAAAAAAGCAAAATCGATATTTTGTATTTCTTACAAATAAACGCCTTCATTGACATAAATTTTATATTTAACCAGAGTCCGTGAGCTCTTGATCCAACATCAGACTGCGATTTTTTCAACCGCCAAAGTGTCATCAGTGGTGCTAGACTGAACCACTAAACTGTCCTTAAGAGACGATTCCGAAAGTAAAGGCGATGACATCTCACTTTATAAAGACGTCATCTATGAAATCGACAGTAGACTCAATCCATGAATATTAAGGATAAACCAAACTTCCTTTGGCAGTCTGTTGCAAATCTAAGCTTTGACTATTGTACGAAGTTTCCCCACTTTCATTTCAAGGCAACAAGGGAACGCCTTGGGGGCAACAAGATGAAATAACGGAATGCCTTGGAGCAACAAGATGAAACAACAGAACACCTTGGGGAGCTTCGTTTGTCCTTGATATTTGTAGATTGAGACTTTTGTCATAGATGGTATTTTTGTAACTTTGAATAAAAGGGTTGGCTTAGATATTTCATCATGGGCTCCATAAAAAGCAACGTTGCATCTATGCAACTTCTCTATAACTCATTTTCAAAATATTACTGCTTTTACTAAAATTTTACTCCTTATACAGCCACCACATGTTTATCAGAATAATGGACTCCAACATTTTTGTTGCTGTGTCTGATTACACATGGATGGCACATATTACAAAATGAGTTAAGATGAGACCTTCTGTGACCTTCTTCATTATCAAAATTTGAAAATGCATGAAAACTTTTCAAAATATTTAATTATGAATAATTACATATTTTTAATTTTATATTAAAGCAGGACCTCTCTCTGATAAGACATTCCTTGCTTCATTATAAACCTCATCACTTTTATCTACTTCTTCATTTTCTTGGAGCTCTGTTAATACATCCAGTAAGTTACGCAGCCTCTCTTTGACATATTCTACATCTTCGGGGTGTTCTTTCGCAGATATTGGAACTATATCACAGAACTTCAAATGTTTTGTCGGTCGCAGTTCGTTAGGATAATTTTTGAAGAAATCTAAAAAGGATATAAATCTCTGAAAGCTTGTACAAAAATATTTATAAAAAGTGATTCATCGTTGACTCTGACAAGATAATAATAAAAAGGATAGTAATAAAATAATAATTATAAAGTTTTTAGAAATACATGCGGGTTNTGAATTAAATTATATCACAAAGGAATATTATTCACCTTTGTCAAAAGCATGACAGTTTCCATACAACTCCGATGAGCATATTGAGGGCTCAATTGAAAACCATTAATATCAACAACCATAAGAATAAGTTTTGTCCTTTCTATATGCTTCAAAAACTGGTGTCCCATTCCCCTGTTGGCATGAGCCCCTTCTATGAGTCCAGGTAAGTCAGCCATTGAAATTTGACGATGGTCTTTATATGTTAAGATGCCAAGATTTGGCTTTACAGTTGTGACTAAAACAAAACATACCAGTGTAAAAACATGGAAATCAAAAACAAATAGAAAAAAAATAAATGTGAATTCGAAATTAATATAAAAAAATAAATGAATAACATCTGAGTTGTTGAAGCAATGTTCAATCTGAATACATGAAAGCCGAGGGAATAAAAACTGACATAAAATGTGTACACCACAGTTGAATACAAGATACTGAAATCAATATTGAAGGACTGAAATAAATAATGCCAAATTAACATGAGTACTGAGGTATTGAAACGGGTACTGAACTTCTGAAGTAAGAAGTATTATTGAATCCTTCAAATCCTGGATTCTAAGGAATAAAAAACTGAAAATATTATGAAGAAATGAAATGAACTGTACAGAAATAATATAAATTTTTGGAAAACTTTATTGGTAAAATTGATTATGCTTCTCAACAAAAATAAATGTGAGGATACATTTATATAACATTAGTTTCCTGCTCTAGAACTTAACAGATGATAGATATTTCACACTTAATTGATAAATACAGTTCGAACGTAAATTTTGAACAGGACAAAAGTGTAGAAAGGTATCATTTTCAGTACTTTTGAATAAAAAAGACAATAATGTTGCATCACTCGTCCCTGAGAGGATTCTACTGACTTTTTTTAATGGAAGAAGAAAATTTATTTATTAACAGCATTGCTCATTTTTCTACAAAACAATTAACAAATTCACACATATGTACTGGAACAATAATCTATAACTATCAGCTAGATGTAAGGAAAGATATATGTTCGGTATTCACCTGTTACTGTATGTGGGTTCAGGTATGATTATTATTATTATTATTGCTATCATTTCATCATTAATGACACCGGCCTTATACGCACGCGCGGAGGTCGGAGACGGTCGTAAAATGTAAAGGATAGACAAGCAAGAGGTGTGCTCGGAAAAAGACGCGTGTTCCGCAAAAAACGTGTGTTCCGCTGAATGTAGGGTGAAAAAATTATTATTATCTACCACCAAAACAGCATCCTTCAAGATCGCCACCAGGGTACCCCAAAAACAAATATTAGGAAGTGGAATCAGAAGGCAAGAAGACCTTCCGAAACCAAATTAAGGTTGGTGCCTTCCATTATTAATTTTCCGAATTGTCTTCTCTTTTTAAATATCTAACACCCGGCCCACATGGTAACTACAGTCCTTATCGAACAATATATAAAAAAGAAAGGCGAAAATAAGCCAATCTTTTCAGTATTTTTAGATGATTTCAATGACTTCAAAAGTTCTAAATTTACATTGTATGTGTTTGTAAGTCTCAAAATTATACCTATAGACTAATACTGGCCATAGTTGATTTGATAAAAGAGTACTCTGAAGATATCTATATATCCTTTTCTCTTTAGATCCACATTTGAAGTTATAAGTTCAACAAGTTCCGGTGAATTAATGGTACCATTGATTATTTTGTGAATTAGTGTAAGATTTGATTGTAATTTTCTATATAATACCTCATTCGATATGTATTTCAATTCTCTATCCAATACGTTTTTATTTTTGTGAATCATACTAGCCATTACCGCGAAAGTCGCAGGATAATTTTTGTTTTAAGAATCTGTAAACAAACGATAAATAATATAAGAACATGAGCTTTCACAGCCGAAGATATATAATCAAAGAGAACAAAATTCGGGCTGGTAGGTTATATCTTGAAGTGAAACCACATACCAATGATGAAGTCTGAAAAATTTTCAACATCTCTGCAAAATCTCATCCAAAATAGAATAGTATTTGATGAGCATATAAAAAAATCCACCTCCACTAAAAAAGATATCTATCTTAACAGTGATCTGAAGTGACTTTTCAATGAACCTTTTTCCTGAAGTACGAAAAATCACTCACTTGCAGCGCTAGTAGTTCGGTAGGGACAAATACTGCCTAATCCCCATATAAACATATGGTAACAATTAAAAAAAATTGTTTTTAACAGAAGAAAATGTTCCTGGAGCAAAACTTAAATTTGCAACTGTAAAGGATAACAATGTTGTAACATTAATATATACTCCAAACATTCGTAATGGAGTTCAAACAAATATCATACACAGGAGCGATTCAAATCGTAATATATGAAAGGATATTGATAAAAAACATATTATATCAAAGAATTCACCATTACACTGACTCTTATAATACAAGGAAAAACAGTGATCTCTGCCCTCCATTATTCAGACTAACAAAAACACAAACCTCCTATAGATTTCCGAGTATAAAATTGTAAAAGCTTTGCCACAACAATTCAAAGATGACAATGTGTCTTGGGCATCATTCAAAATTAAGGTCCATGAATATTCAACATTGCACTTGTTTTTACTCCATAGATGATTATCTGGATCATGTAGTTGCATGTGCATGTGAGTAGGTAAGCCTCTTCCTCATTGGGATTCTATCCTGTTCTTTGGTTTTAACATGTTCATATTTCTTGTCTTTAATTATGATATGTACCTTGCTACTTGTATGTTCATCATGTGAAGCGTATTTTACACTATTTAATTTTATTTTATTTATCTTATGTGATCTATATCACTATCTGGACGAATGTATACATGTCTAATTGTTTACATGAAATATTTCCATTAAATTTCACTTACATAGAAAACGTCAACCTCCAGGAGTACTTCGAAATTTCGGGTGAAAATACTTGTTTTTAAAACCCATATCAGAGAATATTCTTGGATAACTTTTGCAAGGATTGAGTGGTTCATTTTTCGAAATTATTCAAAAAGGTGCTGATGAGTAGTTGAGACTGGTTTTTTCACCTAAAACTTTGAAGTACACCTGGATATAGCAGATTGAATGCTACCATATATAGATATATACCTAGATCCAGAAAATATGAATCAACTGAAAAATTTATTGTATGCTTTATTTAAAAGATCATTTAATTCTCAGGACGAGTACCTACGAGTATAAACACATTCCAATGATAAACCTTCTGAGTTGTGTAAATTCAAAGTGAATGTGAAATAAATTACATTATTTTTGTACTAGACATTTAGTTCTGATTAGTCCGATTAACTTCTATATGTTCATTATGGTTGCTATGAATTGTAAGTATGGTTTACTGATGAAAAATATTATATTCAATTCTATATTACGTTGTGTAACATAAACATTACGAATGTTTGGAGTACAAACTGAATGGAAAAATGTGATTTCTATGTAATTCAATGTTCATATATTTGAAAGTAGTGTTTCAGATGGATTTTTTTCTTTCAGTTTGTATCCGGAAGAAACTTTCAAACATGATTTTTCATTTTTGTTAAGATCATTTATTAATACATTTACATCCTTTCTTCAGACATTTCCCACATCCACTGTAATGATGGAGAAGGAAAAAGTCAAAAAGTCTTTCTCTACAAACTCTTAAAAAACTCTTCTCTTTTCACTTATATTGAATTAAATTATATCACAAAGGAATATTATTCACCTTTGTCAAAAGCATGACAGTTTCCATACAACTCCGATGAGCATATTGAGGGCTCAATTGAAAACCATTAATATCAACAACCATAAGAATAAGTTTTGTCCTTTCTATATGCTTCAAAAACTGGTGTCCCATTCCCCTATTGGCATGAGCCCCTTCTATGAGTCCAGGTAAGTCAGCCATTGAAATTTGACGATGGTCTTTATATGTTAAGATGCCAAGATTTGGCTTTACAGTTGTGACTAAAACAAAACATACCAGTGTAAAAACATGGAAATCAAAAACAAATAGAAAAAAAATAAATGTGAATTCGAAATTAATATAAAAAAATAAATGAATAACATCTGAGTTGTTGAAGCAATGTTCAATCTGAATACATGAAAGCCGAGGGAATAAAAACTGACATAAAATGTGTACACCACAGTTGAATACAAGATACTGAAATCAATATTGAAGGACTGAAATAAATAATGCCAAATTAACATGAGTACTGAGGTATTGAAACGGGTACTGAACTTCTGAAGTAAGAAGTATTATTGAATCCTTCAAATCCTGGATTCGAAGGAATAAAAAACTGAAAATATTATGAAGAAATGAAATGAACTGTACAGAAATAATATAAATTTTTGGAAAACTTTATTGGTAAAATTGATTATGCTTAACTCAAACCTTCAGTGAAAAATTTCTCACTTATCGGTTTGCAAAACACAAGTATTTGGAGTATTTGAAAAATGATGCCTACTTGAAAGATATCGGCACCAGTATTTCTAGTATCAAGGTCGACAGACGCCTGAAATGAAGTAGTAAACTCATTTTCCTCAAAGTACCAGATATTTAAGTCTACTCCTCAATTCTAGGGTTACGATAAACAAGATGCTCAGGAATTTTTCTGACATTTTTTGAAAGTACTTATGATGCACTGTTTGGAACCTTTGGTGTAGTAATGAATATTACTGGAGTTTTTTTCCCAATACCAAATAATTAATATTACGTAAATAACACTGTTTTACATGTAAATAGTTTATTGTTTGTCCCTACTACTAGTGCTGCCTCTCGTGACACGTTTGCTGTACAATTCTCAGGAAAAAGGCTCATTAAACTAACATACCTACCCAATGTCTTTCACCACATCAACAATATTTTTTTATAAAAGATAACAATCTGTACCTGTTGGTAATGCCATTTTCTCTCTCTCTCTAAAATCACATTCACATCATACATTCAACTCTCTAAATAGATAACCAGGCAAGACATCTATTTCTCTACTTCATCTCTGATATTCAGGTCAATTCTAAGTACTATACCCGAAAATAGCATGGTGATTTTTCGTGCAGTAGAGATACTGAAATTTTTACAGAAGGCAACGAGAAATACTAAATTATTTGATTAATGAATGTACCGTGTTAGGAATCACACGTTAAAAGGTAAGACCTCGTTAGTCCTTAGCTCGCACAAGTTCCTCAACTTCTGAGAGTTGTCGTTCGAATAGGGGCGACAGCTGATTAACGGAAAAACAGATTTTGCAACTAGAAATTGGGAGTACTAAAATCGTAATGAAAGAACTGAATGTGGTACTGAAAATATTTGTAGCGAATTTAAATAATCAATTCAGCACTCCAAATAGTCTACCAAGATTGAAATAATGGAATATGCATTGAATATAATCATAGCAATACTGAGATTCTGTGGATTTGGAGATGTACACCTACTGGAAGAATTGTAAGCCTCTCGATAGATGATCAAAGATTATTTAATTTAAAAAATCTACTTACAAGGATAGCTTGCAATTTTTGGTTTAGCTTGAGAAATGGCTTTTAGCAGTGTACTTTTTCCTGCATTAGGAAAACCCACCAATCCTATATCTGCAATCAACTTTAAATCCAATCTCACATGATACGCTTGTCCTCTAGTGCCAAGAAAACCATTTTTTGCATGCCCTCCTGCTCCACCCTTGGCTACCATAACCTCTTCGCCTTCATTATTCAGTTCACCTAAAAACCCAAAGCTTATAATCAGTTAATAACAATTTTCATAAAAAGTATTTGACTGAGGAAAGCAGATTTTTTTTTATTTTCGAATGATTTTCACACAGAATTTCATCACACTAGACCAACACTGCATCACCAGAACTGCATCACTCTTCTCAATGTGCATTTTACGAACCAAATTAGCATCATTAGGAGGTAACCGATACTAAATCCTCAACTTTTTGACTTTATTCCTCCCATCATTATACAATAAGTCTGAGAAACATCATAAGGAAGAAAGTAATTAATTTTAATAAAAACTGTTTACAAACAAGTGTAGATAGACCATGCACCTTTTTCATTTATTATATGGCCATTTTCCAAGGCGTGCTGAGTAAAAATTGTTTGTAGATTCAACACTTTTCTGGTCTACAAATTTCTTTGTTGAAATCATAAAAACATTATCTGCATGTCAGATCCAAGTCGGTGGAGAGTGATCAAACTCTTCTCTTGCTTCCAGTTCAATACTTCTCAAGAACAGATTAGCTATGAGAGAAGATGAATTTCCCTTTATCTTCCTCTCGTACAGTCTTTACAAACACTCTGCTAGATAATTATTATTGATTTTTTACGGCCACTAATTAATTTCCAGTCCAAAAATCATTTTTAAGTCAGTAAAATCAAGTGAAATTTTCACTCCTCTAAATATGCATAATACTTAAGAAACAATCCTCTCCTAATAAAGACAACCTAGTTGAAAAAACATGCATTGAGATGTGGGAAAAGAATGTCTGTTAGATTCATTTTATGCCTGAAGACTCAGCGATATCTAGTGGGATTTAAAAATAATTTTCAACTTATGCAATAGTTTATTTATACAGTTTAAAATACATATTTTTTTGTTTCACTTACCTACCTAGTTTTTTACCCAGTTCTGTTATCAATGATACACCCACAGGTACTTCAATGTGCAAATCTTCTCCGGGAGGCCCTAATATGAAGTTATGGGAAGCATGTCTTCCACCTTTTGCTATATGGCGCTTACTCTTATTTTGTTTATATACATCATCTAATGACACACCATCTTTAGCCACTGCAATTACATTTCCTCCGTTACCTCCAACACCACCAAACCTACAAAAACGTGTTTATAATTGAATGTATAAGAAAGATGGTACATACTTTGGTAAGCCGTTTCCTCCCGGACCTCCTTGTACATAAATTTTCAAATTATCCCTGAAACCTGCACGGAGATATTTCCTAGATATTTTGTGTACTTTAGCGAACAGAATATTCGTAAACTGAACCATTGTTTAGAGTTTTATTGCTCATATTTTTCATACAAAAATACAAACAAGAAACTAGGTTATTTATTTCTTGCAATGTTGCCAAATTGATTAGATTTTTGATGCTTGTCAAACAGAGGGGGTTCTTGCAAAGTTATTTTAGTAGAATAGTGAAACGGTAAAATTCATACAAAATTCTATTTCAACAAAAATGTATAGGAATGAATCACACTAAAACATTATATACCTGAAAATTCCTTGTTTTTTAAAAGTTTAGATGGATTCACTAAGTTTTGCCAAAGAATCAGACGTAAAATCTAAGGAATTTCAAATAACTATTACGAGAACATATTTTGAATTATTGCTAAATGTATTTAATAATTTTTTTTCAATTCCTGAAAATTTTCACATACACTCATTTACATTGAAATGATTATTCTATTTTATTTTTTAACATTAATGTGAAACCTGTTAGGCTTTTGTTTACAAGTTATATCCTACTGTCCCTACTGTTTACTAGACTTGCATGTTAAAAAATATATACTCACTTCCTTCCTTCAACCTCTGGTATGCTTATTTCAATCAATCAATACTTTATTGTTATAAAGAACATGGAATTCTTGTGGACAAACCTCTCGTATAAATAAAAACACCAAATACAAATAGCTACAATTAGTCATATATGAAACAAGAAAACAAGTAAAACGAAGGGTTCTGGCACATTTGTATAAAGGAGAATTGAATTTAAAACCCTTAGCAATGAAAAAAAATTAACTAAAAATGTATCCGCCTAAAATTCTTCCGTATAATACGGACGACTACACAGCAAAAAGTAAACAGACTTTTAAAAGTATCTATTGAGTTGATTTCTCTTATAAAATCAAGTAGATGATTGAACATCTTGCAACCATTATAAATAATAGAGTCCTTCACTAAAGTAGAGATCGGTCTGGGTAAGTTAATACTGTTTTGATAACGTGTAGAAAAGCGGTTAGCCGTATTTTTTTCAAATCAAACTGTTTCTGCTATGAATATAGCAATGTAGCTTATGCAAGACAAAAATTCGTTTGCATTGTAAATTTACTCGAGATATCTATTCTCATCAAATCATTAATGTATAACAAAAAAGGGTGGGCTAAGTATAAGGACCCTTGCGGAACACCACAGTTAACCAGTAGTACAGAAACGGATGAAGTTTTAACCATTTGTGTGCGATTAGTCAGGTAGGATTCTATCAAATTGTTTACTACTCCTCTGAAGCCATAATGATGAAGTTCAGTCAGTAGTATTTCATGATCAACACAGTCAAAAGCTTTGCTGAAGTTGAATAACACACGGCGGCTGCAGCCTCCCCGCAGTTGACATTTGTGTATATTTCTTGGAGAAATGAAAAGATGGCATCACACAGTTTTTTTTCTGGAATCCGTACTGATTATGTTATATTATACTATCTTTTTTCAAGAATTATGTTATTCTAAATTTTACAATTATTTTTGTAAGTGCTGATATTAAGAGAAATCGGCCGTAAATTTGCTGGCTCGTCTGAGGCACTACCTTTACAATGACAGTTTTCAGGAAGTCTGGGAATATACTTCTCTGAAATGAGTTATTTATTTAATAGGGTGGCCAAAGTCCAGACCAGAGTAGTCTTTGATTTGCTGGTTTTGGATTTATTATCAGATTCATTAATTTTATTTTTGTAAAAACTTTCCTTAGCGACTTTGATAAGTGTCCTGTAGATCCTTCGATACTTGGTGAAGTATGTGTAGAAAAAATCTGCGTTAGTATATTTTCTCATATAATGCTGGCATCTTACATTTTTTGAAGACGTTTTAATTTCAGCAATGAACCACTGCTTTGTTTTATGCTTACCCCGAACTTTTTGTAAAGGGAAGGACTTAAAGAAAAATGTTACATGATGTTCATGAAAATATTGGAAGGGTTTCTCTAGGTCTAGAATGTTATTCCACTGTGAAAATCCTGCTGATTCTCTGAATTTATTAAATTTTGTTTTGCTGTATATTCGCCCATACTTATGTACTTTTGGTTGCGTAAAGCAGATATCAAATGTACTTGAAACCGCTTCATGGTCAGATAAACCGGCACTTATAACAAGAAGAACTGCATTTCTCATGCATATTGCTACCAACATAATCAATTTTAGTTGCCTAGTGAATAGAGTGACGAGTAGCATTTCGAACGTGCATGAACAAGGAAAATGATAAAAGATTTTTTAGCAGCAGCGTATTAAAGGACTCGTCATAATTTAATTAAAATCTCCAGTTAAGATGATTGAAGCTTTCAAGGATGGCGGTCTATAAATGCATATAATATACATATTAATTTCCTTATAGATAAAGGAGAATTCGAATTGCCTTTCTTCAAGATTATCAAATTTGTTCAAATTTACAAAGTGAGGTCTTACAAACGAACATTTTCTAATAAGTATCTGTGTCTCACCATGAGCTGATATTTTTCTGTTGTAGGACACTGGTGTATAGTTTTCTATAACAGGCTGGAGCCAGTGTTTAGTTAACAGGATTATATCCGGAAAATGTAAACTATCTAGAAATATGAGCAATTCATCACTTTCATTTCTGACTAATTGAATATTTAAAAGCATTAAGGGATTTGAAAGTTTATCTGTTTCATTCCTAAAAAATTATTTTCATTTGTGATATTTTTAGAAGGATGTTTTAAGAATTGCACCTTTGATAAATCATCACTATTTGTATAAGCACTAACATGGTTCAAGTCCTTTATAAACGCGATCTGATCACGTTCACCGTTCCTTATTGAAGTAAATTCAAGTCCTTTGAGCAAGCTCAAAATAGCTTTTCCTACAAAAAATTTGGCCGCATTCGTCAGGTGGATTCCATCCCTACTATAATTGCTCCTTCGCAGTGGGTTGCAATCTAGGAAAAAGATCAGATTATTATTCTGGAAGAGAAGTTTCTTGCTGATGAGAAGATTATTTTCATAAACCAGTTGATTCATATTCATATCAAACCTATAAGGTTCAGAGATAATAATGGTGTGTTATTGAGTTTGGAATTTACTATGTCCAGTGAATTCATAGAGAGAATTTTTGGCCATATTAATACAACATCCTTATTAGTAAACTCTCTTGCAAAGTTGGTAGCAGTATATATTAATTCTCTGTCGGAGGTATCTGGTTTTACAATGGATAGGATGGAATATTCTTCTGTTTGTTTAAACAAGGTTTCCACTAAGCTACCGGACGATACAATTAATATTCTTTTCTTTTTGCACGCGTGTGTTGGTATTTTATTAATTTCCAGTTTATTCGGCTTGGAGATGATGCTATTTCTCTAATGTAGTTTTCCTTTGTGCTTTTAAGTTGAGTCAATCCGTTCTTCAGATGGACAATTTCATTCCATCCATTCCATTTGTTCATTTCCAACGATATAATCGTGCTAAGCATCTCTGAATTTATTTTCAAGGTTTGTGCAGCTCATCTGTTTTGTTTCTTATTTCTTCTTCCAGCAATCTATTTCTCTTTTTTTACATCATTTTTGCCTTTTTGCAATTATTTTTTCCAGCTTCTTTCTCTAATTCGTCTATCCTTCTCATTAATTCATTTATTTTTTCAAGTTTCTCATCTTCTATTTGGTTTATAATCTCATCTCTTTGGATTACATCTTCCTTCAATTTTTTTTAACATCATTTACCAGGATGTCTGTTTTTTTCTCTCTGAATCCTTCAGCAAGCTTTTCAGAGGACAGTAAATTTTGAAACCACTCTATACTCATTTCTCCGGTCCAAACAACTTGGATGAAAAATGTCCAAACATGTAATGCAAAAACGGTTCCAAAGTCTTTCTTACAGCATTTGAATTTACCCTTCATGTGTGTAAATTTGTACGCCACTGGTGGGTGTTTGAAATTACTTTAGAGTCAACAAAAACTCTATCCTATATCAGCATTTTTTACAGACAATAAATACTTATCAGCATTGTTTTTTACATACACTTTCATTCAGGTGGATCCGTATTATGCACAAAATCTGTAATAATTGATCAATGAAGGATAATATCACTTTTGATTTTCTTGCACTATGCTTCGTTTTGATATACAACATTAGATATAAAAATATATTGTCACCACTAGAAACTTGCAGTTTTGCGGAGCAAAAAACATTCAGGCCAGCTTGGTATGTCTACCAAAACCCTACCAAATTGTACCTCCATTTTTGAGGCTGAATATAATGAAACAGTTGAGGATTCATATATCTGATCATTTTTCACAGATTATTAATATTCCATTCACTAAAACTCCCATAATTTGCCCAAAGTCATCTATCAGTAGAAGACAAAATATTCAATGCATACTCAGCTTCTGGAAACAAAGTTAATAAGGTTTCAATCTTGAGAGATTCCTTCTTTAAAGTAACTGTCAACATTTTCTTGACCTACACTGAGCCTATTAACCTTTCCCAGCATCCACCCATATGTGGAGTACCAAGTGTCCCAATCTCCGTCATTTGTTGAGTTAGCTTCTTTGTGATCAAGTTCGAAAGTTCTTCACTGTCTCCCTTGAAATTTTTGCCATTATCTCATTAAAGGTGTCTGATTGGACCCCGGTAGGGTATCATCAGCAGTGAGGGAATGTGCGATTTCCAAATGTATTGCACAAATTGCCATACAAGTGAAAAGAACTCACCACCGTTTTTCTTCATACCTCCCAACTGTGACATACAATGATCCGAAATAATCAATACCAGTGTAAGTAAATGGTTTTAAGCCTGTTGTGAGGCGCATCAATGGCAAATATTCCCAATTTCCTTTCCCTGATGATGATTCTTCTCATGAGAATTCTGTAATATCAGATTAACAGCAGCATTTTTTTTAAATCAAAAATTACAGGTTTCTTTACGTGTTCACCTAAACATCTAGCCTAGCTAGTTCTGGTTTGCATTTTCAGAAGTTCATCATCATCAATGAATGCTGAAAGATTGAAAAGCGAGCTAACCTTTTGCTTTCAGTAACTCAATTCCTTGCCAAAGTTCTTCTCTTGCCTTCTTTTGAGACACAATCTCTCTATTACCTTGATGGTTAATTCTCCAGAACGATATCTATTTCCCACTATGTTTTTCTAGAAGAAGCCTGCAAAACCTTAATACCTTTGCTGCACTTTTCACAAGTTTTCGCCACTTGGAAAACTGGTGCACTTCTGATAGGTAGGCAAAAGAAGAAGAAATAAAGAAATCAACAAAATGTTCGGCGGATTTTCTCTCATTTCCATCGTCCAAGTAGTGAATCACTCAAATTAAAAAAAAGAGGAATTTGAAACCAAAAACTATTGTAATTTGAGTCAATATTTGATGAATATGTGATCCTTGTTGCTTCCTCAGCATTTTATTTGCCAGGGACATATTTCCGTAAAGCTTGCAACTGTCAAATCTTGTATTTCATCAATTCTATATGTAACAAATTGTTTACAATTCTATCCATCACCTTTGATCCAACATAGAACTTTTTTGAAATCTGTCCACAAGAAAGAACTGTTAACAGAAAAATCAATTGTGCAATTGGACAATACAAAGGTTTTAATATTTTTTCTTGAATAATCGTATGTCACCAAAGAAGCTCAAGATATCTTTCTTGTTTGAAATTGAACGGTGGATTCAAAAATATTTTCATTTGGAAACAAATGTAAAACGTACCGATAGAAAATATTGAAGGTAATGGCCAATCACATGCCACTGTTAAATTGGATAAGTCTTTTTTGTATCGAAAATTGAGCAGTTTTATCAAGTTTCACCGTCCAAGTGATTCAAGAACTAAAGTAAAATCGTTCAATATAATAAAATCTTTCAGTAATATATCAGACAAGTTGAACCAAGGACAAATTAGTTTCTATGCAATTTGGTATTTTTTGTTCATAAAAAAATATAATTTTGGTACAATTTCTGTACTAAAATATACTATTCTATGAGATATTGTCCAATATACATACCAAAAGATGATCAATAAAGAGATTTTAGAAAAGTGATGAAAAGATAATGATGATAATAACTTTGTGTAATCATGACAGAAACACTTAATCTTTCTTTCATACAAAAACTTGTGCCCTTGAATGGAAGTTACTTCATGGTGAAATCAGTGTAGAATTTATTTTAAACTAGTTTTTCGAAATCTCGAATGATACTAAATTTAGTAGCCCTAACAAAAATTACTTTGATTAGTTTTCAACCTCTCCAGCTCAATTTCATGACACATCATGGGTTTGAACCAGAGCAATGTTATCATTTTAGGTAATTTCCACAAACAAAAATGAAAAAAGTTAAATTCTAGTCACGGATGACAAAATGGGTGGGTATGAAACATGGTGGGATTTACAATTTGCCAACTTGTGTAATTTCTACCAAGGCCGAGAATATTACTTCCAACAAAAAAAATAGTAGTACTTTCTGAGAGCAGTATCAAAGAAAAAGAAATCATTTACTCAGTGGGGGGCTTATGAGAATCTGAAGTTGAGAATGAGAACAATATAAAAAAAACAAGTTTTCACAATGTCAGATTTATAAAAAAAAATACTAGAACTTCTTTTAGAGAATATCAAGGTAGTCAATGCATGTATGCCGAAAATTCCGGAACGTTATATATCTATGTTGGTGATTTTTTAAAAGTTGATATGCATACAATTACTTGTTATATGAACATTGTGACATCACATGTTCTCAAACACTGGTAATGAAGCAGTGTAAAGTTTGTCATGTGCAAGTATTTTCACGGAAACTTCAACTGACAAAAGTAAGTACTATATTAAAATATAATTTTAAATAGTTTTCACTACGTTAGGTATGCATATACTGTTTTCAACAATTTCCTAGAAATAGTTGACTTATTCAGAAAGTTCTGTTAAATTGACTGATAAAATTCAACAGTCACTTGGAATATGATATTTGACATGTAATCAATACAATCAATGTAATAATGGCAAAGCTGTCTAATATTGAAATTATCCTTATACCCATATTTAATCACTAGTAACTAGGCAAAGTTAGAATCTGAAAAACTTAAGCTTTTTCCATTAAAATTTTTGTGGACAGTGCTGAGGCATCACTCTTCACAATCTTTCAGGCAATTCAGATAATGAAGTTTCGTTCATGTATGAGATATACGAGGAGGTATACTTGGAAAATGAAAAACTTGAAAAAACATTTTTTTGGGGGCTATACAACAATTTGATAGACATGTCAATGAATTATGTAAATAACTAGCATTAATACTAGCAAGTAACACTTTATAGTGAGATTTTCACTGAACAGTTTACAAAACCGCAATATGTGTTTTGCTATACAATAGCTTCCCCTCAAGTGTTTTCATACAGCTGCGGGATGCCATACTCAAAAGTTGTTACAAGACAGTTAGATACTGCCATTACGAGTCAGCTTACAAGAAGAAATTCAGAAATAAAGTCGAATAATTCCTGGTTGTGAGGGCTTATTACACTATGGACAAAGTTTATCAAGACACTATCTATCTATACACTTTCTTTTATTCATTTGTAATTGTCAATTTTAATTTACAAGGCTTTGCAAATAAGCTGTTCAAACCTTTGGGTAGTAAATCATATTTTGATTTTATTAAGAAATGAGAGGTCTCACCTTTAAAATATCTGATTTCTAGTACAACAGAGGAAACTATCTCAAAAGTCCACTCAAGAACCAGACTATCATCCAAGTGATAACAACATCCGATATTGTTTAGCATAGATATTGACCTTAGAGTTTAGAGAGACCCTGTCTTTTCATCAATAAACAGTAAAAACTGTACTATTTTACATATACATGGTATTATTGGTAGGTATCAACACTTAATATAATTTATTGAAAAAAGAATTATTGTTTTTTTTTGTATTTCATATCAGTATGCTTCCTAGACACGTGAATAGACGATGATTAATGCTCTTTGTCCCACTTTTTACTAATCATAACTACACTCAGTAATTTCATCATCTAAAATGTGATTGAATGATTACTACAAATATCATCATATAATTAAATAGGAGTTATAAAGCTTCAAATCCTTTTTGTAACAAATATTAATGTTGAAATTCCAGATATGAATACAAAAAAAACTTTCTGACATTACTCAATGAGACATCAAAAAACAGAAAACATTTTTTTGCTATCACTTTTCAAGCTATATAAGATGGTGATTACTTATTTTCCAATGTTATGTCTACAAGAAATCATGACCAATTTTACATGGACTGGAAAAAGAATCACTCTTCATAAGTTAGTCCTTTTGATAACAATTTTACTGATGTATAATCACGCATAATCTAAATGTTCAAAGTTCCAAAACGTTAAACAATATCTGAACTAGGCAACTTTATCCTAATTTGAGCGACTTTGAATCTCTAGCAGATTCCGATTTTCCCATATTGGCCTTCTTCTACTTGTTTATTCCTAGATGGACTAAATATTGAAAAAAAAATTCTTTGGCAATTTTTCCTTTGTTCAATTCGATAAAAAATTCCATAGGTTTTTTTTGCTCGTGCTCTTGGAGCATTGGATTCTACACTTAACAAAAAAGAAACATGTCGAATTGAAGGATTTCTCTTATTGTAATTTCGAATAACCATTCAAATCTTCCCTGCACTTTTCCCCAATAATCAAATCAGAGAATTCAAGACACCTCGATTTCTTACTCTACTTCAACAAAGTGAAATGAAAACTGATCTATCTGAAAAAGTGCAAATATGAAACAACTAAAGGCTACTCTAGTCAAACTTGTGTGTAATTAGTGGAAATCTGACTATCCTCAACTGTTTCCCGTAATCGCACAAAACTGCATCCCGCAGCAAAATCAGCTGGTTGATGAAGATGAACGGTGCTCTACCAAGAGTAATTGTTCTAACACAATCTCCGGTTCGAACATCCCAGATAACTAGTCCACCACTTCGAGCAGTAATCACCAAATGCTGCGCCAGCATAAGAACTTGATTTGAAAACGGCTGTGAGATGTTAATTGTGTTGAGTAGGTGACCCTGGAAACGCTCCCACACGCAGAGACGATCATCGGTGCCTAAAGAAATGACGTAACTTGCAGAGTAGGTCAGTGAGGTTATGCTTCCATTGTGAGCTTGGATGCTATACATGCATGCGCCTGTAAAATTAAAATGTCACTATGAAAAATATAAATTTTATTATTCAACAACATACATTAAGGTGAACTGTGAACAAATAGCTAAAAGTTTTGCAAATTGTTTTTCAACATATTATGATAACTCTTCCTAGAATGTTAATTGTGAATGTAAGGGAGAATAAGATCACAATGATATCCGAAAAAGTTGATCATCAAACGATATAGCTTGAAATAGACGCATCCTATCAAATCTTCTTGTTATGAGCACCAATTAGAAAATGCCATGGAGAGGAGAGGTTAGGTGAATGTCATGTATGCTGAGTTTTTTTTGAAAGATATTTGATAGTGATACACTTCTCAAATGTCACTTCTTAAATAAAACTCATTGTAAAAATTCTATAATTATCATAGGGCAGGTGGTTGTATATTTTTCAACCATTATAGACGAGTAACTTTTTACAAATAAGGGTTGATGTAACACTTAGCACTATCATAAAGTTGTGGCTCACAAATTCTAATTTCTCATCAATGCATGCATGCATTTAAGCCAGATGCTCTCAAACTTATTTTGTCTATCGCCCACTTCAAGAATTAAGTATTTTCTAGCGCCCCCCAAATTTTTTTACTTTACTACATCTTAAGAATCACAATCGCAGTCATTATTTTAATAATTAAATTATGTGTGTCATGTGAAANAAAAAAAAAAAACATTTTTAAATTAGCCATCGCCCTCCTAAACCGCTTCGACGCCCCCCCAATCTTCTCTGTGCCCTTTACTGCCCCCCTATAGGCCTCCAGCGCCCACAAGGGGGCGTTATCGCCCACTTTGAGAAAGACTAATCTAAGCTATAGCTGAATGTAAAAAAATTTATTCATCATGGGATTAACTATTATTAATTATTGACAAAAAACATTTTCTTTACATCTAACTCTTTACAATCAATCTTTTGTTATAGGCAGTTGCTCATCAAGTAGTTGAAATTGAAAGTATTATGGAATGTTATAAGTAAGTATGTAAGTTGTTTGTAAAACATTAGTTGAACAATTATTTTAAATCAATATTTTACTTTGATAACTAACCTGTTAGCAGATCCCAAACGCACAACATTCCATCTTGGGATCCACTGCCAGATGTGGCAGGATTGATTCTGTCAATGAAGAGGCAAGTGATGGGTCCACAGTGTCCATGTAACGTATACAGGGGACTTCCATCATCTAACCTGAACACTTTTAATGTGTGATCTTGGCTTCCAGTCAGAATTTTACTCCCCTCACAGTCCAAACAAGTTATTGGCTGTTGATGAGCTTTGATGGTTTGCAATTTGATGCATCTCAAGTCTTCTTCACTATCAGTCTGAAATATAGTTGAGCTGAACAAAATATTATAAACCTAGTCCGGAGTATTGATTGGGAATGAGTGAATAGTGAAAAACATTTTTGAAAACAAGCTCTTTTAATATGCTCAAAAAAAAAGAGTTTTAAATTGATTCAAACCCATCAATTTATTACGATACACAATTTATTTGATATAAACGCTTATTTTTTCTATTAATGTAATTGCTATATGGTTTCCTTTTCAGGTAACACTGGTGAAAAATTCCAAAATACTGTATAAAGCAAAATTCAAATGTTGTATCCTTTAGTAACTGTACTGTTGAATTAATTTGAATCAAGAAAGTCAAAGATTTTTTAAATTACTGATGATTTTTTATATGATTTGTTGTTAATTTACACTGTTTTAGACACACTTTACGTTTCAAATCGTACTATTACGATAATATGTAAGATAATATGTTGCTGAGGAATTACTGAAAGGAAGGCATCTTGAAAAAGTCAATACAGACAAATTCAAGATAACAGAAAACTGCAAAAAATATGTGTGGAAGGGGCGCCTTCAGCTGCACATGCCGGTAAATGTATTTCAAATCAACTCATGACGATTAAAGAAAAGTTATTTTATGGGAGACTTTATTGATTGCATTGATAAATTATTTAATGTCATTAATTACCTGTATTGGTAAATCATGGTCTGTGATAGATCCTGCAGAGGCTGTCCTCACATGCATCCTTCTGTAGGCACAAGTAAAATTCCAGTCTATGGGACGACCTTGATTATAAGTTTGAAGCTGGAGTAACTCTATCATACCACATAATCGAACAGCTATGACTCGAGCCCCAATTATTTTCACATGGCTAATGCTAGACTCAGTTCCGTCTTCGAAAATACACTGCAAAATGAGTAGGACACAATTTCACACAATACTGGTTTGATTGTCATATCAAGATCCATTGAATGAAGGATTTTGGGGCTAGTCACCACCTATTAGAATGTATTTTGAATAACTCACCTTCAGCTTTGCTGTTGTACCCTCCCAGAACTCCAACCTTCCATCAGCACAACCAATGACAATCAAATTGTCCTGATAGTCCATGCACCAAACAGGAGATAGCTTACAGCATGAAAAGTTGCTTTGATCGTTATTGATACTCGCTCTACCATTCACTGAAGAGTTGTTAACATCTCTTTTCCAACCCGATTGAGAATACTCGCTTTTGAAACTAACTTCAGATTCGTCATTATCATCAATGCTCCTTCTCTTTTTGTGTATGTTTTCTTCAATACTCGTTCGCTTTGCCATATCATCTTTGACACAATCATACTTATGTCTGGAACAATAACTACAATTCAGATAACTGATAAAATTTTTGAATTGAATAAATTACCTGAGCCGCACATCAAAATTGTGGTTGAAATAAAAGTACCTATATGACTTGTTGAAATCATACTTGGAATCTGTGTATGCAGGAGAATCGCCTATATGATGTGAGAAGTCAGTGTTGATTTTGTTGAGCAATCTAGGAAACGTCAATGTCTCATCTTTCGGAGGTGAACTAGAATCATAGTCAGAAATTCTGTCATCCAACTCAGATGCCAGATCAGGCGGTTTGTTGTCAGAGAAAAAAGACTTGCGGTCTATATTGGCAATCAGCTCACCTGTGTTGTTATCCCAAACCTTCAACTGCCCACCTAAAAAAAAATCCTTCAATCAGTACAAGTAAGAAATTCCTGGATATTTTACTGTGAAGCCAAAATAAGGTTCTTTCTATTCAATCACCCACAATCAAATGACTTGAGGTCTAACAAAGAGGCAATCAACAATTCGTTCTCAGGTGGAATATTTCCTGAATGTCTAAAAGTTGCAGTTAGTGAATTATTATCCAAAGGAAATGACTGTGATTAAGAGCCATTTCTTTGCTGGCTGGAAACTTTTGAGAAACTTGTGGAAAATCTTGTTGAGAAAACTGTTATGAATTCTTTTTTTGGTACAAGAGTTGGCTTTAATGTTTTTCCAAACGACCATTTCAGGGTGCTAAGGTTTTTTTAAAATTCACCTTTCATTGCTCTAGAATTAGCGGCTGCGTTCGAACCGAGAGTGCAGTTAGTTGACAGGAACTGTTTGACAATAGAAACATAGAAATCACACTTGAAGGTTTTCTTTAGATGAATGATACATTTTGACAAAAATTCATAGAATGTCTCCATTCAACTTTTGGTAAGGAAGTATCATCATAGAACACTGTTCAAAATTTCATTGTAGTAGTGCATCAATCGTTTATTTCACTATTATTTCATTTCAGGTTTATTTTGGTTAATATAATTGTTATTTTCAGCTATTCATTTTCAATTCTCCTTTTTTAGTTGTTTCAAGGATTTCAAATCATTTTATATAGTAGACAATGGAAGTCCGAACTAGTGAAATTCTTCCCAAACCATGTTTTGAATAATCGACTTCAAAATTAGTCTGAGTGTAAGCCATCAATCGTGATAGCGAACATTTTGTCCCCAAAAAGTACCCTACTTTTTGTAAAAACTCATAATACCGGTTTGCTCAGTATTTACCAATCTGGACTTCAAGAATCTTAAAAGCGAACAATGATGATACGTTCCCATCATTTATTACTGGAAAAATATATCAAGAACTCAATGGGTTGATGCAAAAAAAATCATCAACTGGAATTTTCTGTGAACACCACTATCATTCTTGGGTTGCATATTCCGACCTGGATAGCTGCAGGTTATCTGAGAGAATCAGGAAAGTATCTCCTGACTAGTGGATGCAGTTAGTACACTGTGGCCATTGGGAGGCGCCGCCCCGAAAGGCATCACAAGAGCCATACTTCACAAGCCACACAATTGTGTTGCTTACCTACCTGGGAATGTAGTGGCAGAGTGACGGCTGGCTGAGGAAAATGTATCATATGGTATCATGAGGAAATTTCAGGTCATGGTAGCAGAGCACATACTCTGTGCCTGTCCCAAAGCAGACCAGAGATCAGGTTTTTAGCGTTTGACAGAGTCTCACTTTTGCTACCTGACCTGAAAGATTACCTACGACATAAATAATCAGTTTCGTTAAGAAGCTGGATTTATTTGGTTGACTTCAAATACATATGTGTACCTACCAAGAACGACAGCTTAGTATTATAGTACATTCAGTTTTCTCCCCGCTATGCCCCTTGAGGACGCCGCTAAGGAGCCATTGAAATAGTGACTTGTGACAAAGAACTTCAAAAGAGGTGGCTGACGCTGTTTATCATATTGCGTTTAAAATAGTATTAATAGGCGTCAGACTGGGGGTAATAATATAAATTTTCCAATGACATATTCTGTATGATGCGAAGATAATTGAAATATAGTGAAAACTAATTTTGTTTAAATATTTCATTTTGAGGACAATTTATATTAGAATCGGTTTTTCATTTAGAATTGTTTCCTTTTATAGATCTATAAAATAATCAGAATATTAAATTTAAAAATGAATTCAAATAAAGATTCTGATTGTTTTGTGGATTCATTTTTCCCAAGCTTCTTGGTCGACTGTTTCCAGGAATACATCAGGCTGAATTTGACCGATAGTATGGGTTGACTTTGCGGACTGCTGACTGTTGACTGCTGTTGACTTTGCTGTTTGCGCCATATTCGAATACACCTGCGACTTGAGAGAATTCTACAAGAAAAATTGCACGATCTCGGTAGACAGTTCACATAACCTCCACGTAAGATGACTATACCCCCAAATGGCTCGTGCAGAATATCCAATGTGGCATGAGCTACGCGACACGTAGCGTCACGTAGAGTCCTGTTGACACCACATGTCGTTGGTGTCCACATCATCAAATTCAGGCCAAAACATCGACCTATAGTTCTTGCTGTTGACAAGCCAGTATCATTTTAAGATTCAAGAGTAGGGAGGGCATCATTTCACCAAAGACTGCAATAATCAGAACAACCATCTTGACAGAGTCGTCTGGATAGAGTCTGCGGAGTTCGAAGAGAACATCTCGATATTTTATCCGTTTTTCCTCCTCTTTTCTGACGATATTCCTCTCGCCAGGAGCTGAAAACTCAACGAGAAATATCATTTTGGTCTGGTGGTCGAGAAGGACTACAGCAGGCGTATTAGCTTGTATAAGCCTGAGGGTGGTGAACGAATAGTTCCAATGTATTCGGCACTTCTCGTTACCCTCAACGGATTCAATATCCCCCGGAGCGTAGGGCAACACCGGTGTCTCGTCAATACCGTAAGAGCGCTGTAGATGGTAATATAGCACTCTTAGGGTCGCATTATGTCGATGGATATAGGCCGAGACCGCATATGCTGGGCATGCTGATAGCAAGTGCATTACGGTCTCGAGCACCTCGCGGCAGGCCCTGCGCCTTGTGTCAGGAACCTCTATACCCATCACGCGACTGCNAGTTATACCCTCGAGTATTTCTGAGCGCAACGGATAATGGCAATAGTGAGATGCAGAAGAGAAGGGGACTGAGGGAATCGCCCTGAAATACACCCCTTCTGAAAGTGACCCACCGTTTGGACTCTGGCTTGACCAGATGTTATGGTGAAGCGAGATCGCCAGAGTGATATCAGTTGTTCAATGCATCTCACTATCATTTTTTTTTCACTGTATTGTGCGCTGGTCAGGCCCTATCTTCCGAAGCCCCGATACATTTGGGAGGGTGCGCCAGCATTATCAACCAAAGACCATGATCCACACCGTGGCGTAAGCGATCATTGGGTCCAAGAATCATGTGCCCTGAGCAAGCGCAGTGAGCCAAGAATGACAACCTTCTGCATCTGTGCGGCTAAGATGAGATCGCCTGCCCAAAATCCACACCAAACGGTGACTTTTTCGGGATGCGTTGGACGCTCTTGAATCTCATGTGGATTGGTATCGTCCCAAATCCAAAAATTATGTTTGTTCACGTATCCATTCATTCAGAAATGAGGCTCATCGCTGAAGATGATTTATCGATGAAAATTAGGGTCAGTTGCCAATTATTTACTGAACAAGTAGACTCAAATTTATGCACCACATTACGAATAGTCATCTTGGTAGGACGATTATGGCGACCTCATAAAGAGCGAAGCGCGAAAGACTCCGAAAGGCTCAGCTCTTGTGAGCGACGTTAAATCGACTGCTTCGTATCCTCCTGCACACTCTCACAGACGGCGGCGATATTTTAGACAGATCTTGCGTTTTGTCGACGTACGGTTGTTGATCGATCGTGTTCACTGAACCAGTGGACTTAAATTCATCTACCATATTGCGAATAGTCTTCTCGGTAGGACGATTATAACGACGTAAAATGGGTTAAGCGCGCGGTACGTTGCTCGAACAGTACGTTTGGTAAAAAATTGTATTATTTGCACGTTGTTAATGAGAAAATATATCATCGAAATTCAATTCGTTTTAGTTATTAGTTTATTTAAGTATGTGCACAAACAAGGTTTGATAAGGTAGGCAAATAATAAAAATATGTGGCATAAGGACTTTGGAATCTCGAATTTTATCTCGAAATTACGACTTTTATCTTGAAATTCAGACTTTAATCTCATAATTTCGAAATTACGACTTCAAACTCGAAATATTGACTTTAAAGTCGAAATTTCGAGATTAAAGTCAAAATTTCGAGATAAAAGTCGAAATTTCGTGATATAAGTCGAAATTTCGAGATTCAAAGTCGTAATTTTTAAGAAACAATTGATGAAAATATGTGGCCCTTCTGCGCTTCCGTAAAATTTTGAGATTCAAAGTCGTAATTTCCAAGAAACAGATAATAAAAACATGTGGCCCCTCTGCGCTTCCATATAAAATATTCATTTACGTAGAGTTTCAAAAGAGGAATGAAAAATTGAGAATATGACACATAAAGTTACAAATCATGCAATGTCGCAGTACTGACTCAAATGTTATTTATAGTATTATTAAAAGTGATTGTGGATACATGATACCAAGGCGTTCAGACAGTCGAAATGAATATCGCAATGCTCACAGATTTTATTCAAGCTACTGCACATAAAATTCAATGGTGATCGTAGCATAACGTTGGTGCGTGATGCTTCGCAATAGAATTTCAGATTGTGTCCACCTTCACTTCTTGGTACTAAGAAATTGATCTCGGGTAGAAGAACCGTACTGTCAATATTGTTGTTTAGTAATTTATGTAGGAATTTTATACCAAGGATAACTCTCCTATTTTCCNTGACTCCTGCATGAAAGCTCATCGACGGAATTCATTTGTTTAGTCAATTACCAAAATTTGGATGATTTTGAATATTCACTTGAAAAGTTATCAAAGAAAAACATTTTTCATTTTGTAACTTCGAGGGCCCGTAACTTGGTTACGAAGACTTTTAGGAAAAAAAGTTATATGAAGTACTGATGATATTTTAACCCCATCTATACATTCCCGAGAGGAAAAGAGGAAGTCCAGGGACACCCTGTATAACATGTATCTACAAGTGCTATTTGTTCTGTTTACAGTGGGTTAAGAAAACCAATTTGACCAAAAAATGGGAATTTCAAGAGTAGGTTTTTGTTGGATTATTTTTCACAACTTCCGACGTGGATTATTTAAACAATAATGTGTCGATGAACTTACTTTTTGTATGGCGGTAAAGCATCACCAAAAACCACAGTATATTGCTGATATAGTGAATTCAATCGTGGTCGTAGTTCGGTCGC